TTACTTTTGGGACCAAACGACGCCTCTCACTGACTGACACTAACGTGTCACAATGAATAATCCATGATAACGCCGTATAACCACTTCTGCGGATGTTTTAAAAAATCCAAATTTTAACATTTCATGTAAAATGTTGAATACTGCTTCAGTCGGTTTTAAGGGGCGTGGAATGTTTTTTTTTTCCATAACCATCCATGAATAGACTCAATCAAACCGAGCCTGCATCATTTTCAATTTTGTCGTTTGATGAGTTTTAAGGGATTCCTTATTTCTCACTATTTTAGTTTTTTTCTATATACATCATATATAGTTCTTATATAAAGTCGAATAAAAACGCTATAATTATTTGAAATTAAAGTTGCATGAATGTAAAAAAACACATTTAAACAGTAAAATTCTAGTTAACTTAATTAAATCGTTATCAAAATTCCTCATACTGAGAAATATAAGAAAGAAAAAAAAACAATTTATGCAACTATAATGAATTGTTTCAGCTTTAACGTACTATACTGAGTGTGTTCTCAAGGCATTTCAATGTTACAGTAAATATCCGATAAACTGATATCGTTAAACGCAGTGGATGATATAAATGAAAGACACATTGCATGTGTATCGGCCAATAATATGTTGCTGCCGTGCATATTTCTATCCATCAAGCGATTCGAAACAATATAGTATCTTTAAAAAAAGGTGAATTTTGATTCTGTTTGATGGTCTCATTATTTGAGTTAATGCTCAAGACAAGATAAAAGATATATAACAGTATTCTTCTATTATATATATTTAAGCAGGTCACATACCCTAAGGGTGATTAAAACAGCATTCAAGTAAGGAATACTGGAACTACCCTAATAGAAAATAGCTGTAGAAAAAAATCTAAACATACCACAAGCACAACAATATTGTCATGCCATTGTATTGCCATTAAAAATGACATAAACACAAAAAATGTATATTTGTCATTAAAATAAAATCTGTATAGCAATTTATATTTTCAAATATCAAATTTAAAGTATAATAAATCTTTATAATCCTTTTAATATTTTGATAGCTTTCAACAAACTATGTAGGCGTATGTTTTCCATGTATACTGGGTGTTTACATGTTAATTATATCGATTTGGTCTCGTTATTGCCATTTCACGTTGCCCCAATATATGATCTATTGTAGAATAAAATTTTATATATATTTTTCAATTTTTTAATTAAAAAGTGTAAAATGAATATACTGTTAAATGAAAACAGATATAATACCGTACAATAGTCATTCAATAAATTCGTTTATCGTACCTATATATATATCATATACTTTTTGGAAAGATGAATTCTTAATCAAAAGTAGGACATTCTAATGCCTTATTTATTTAATGCAAACATATCAAGTAGGTATTCCAATAGATACCAAACTATTTGAAGTTAAAGAGTGTCGGACCATAAATCAAAATATATCTTAAAACATGTTAAACATTGTATATCCTCTGTTCATATATTAATCGTATAGATAGACTAAATTTCAGGAAGTATTGAAATTTTTAATATTGTTAATCTTTTGAAAATGAGCGGACATTATGAAAAACTATTTATTTGTGCACTCTGCAAAGAGGAATTTAAAGGCGATCCTAAGCGGCTACCGTGTCAGCACAGTGTTTGTGAAAGTCCATGTCTGAAGAAACTTTTAGGGTAAGTGTACAAAAAGTAAGATTGTTACAATACATAAATATATGTATTGATACAATACCGTTAAATACAGGAAACTTTAGAAGTTTATTTCGTAGATGTTAACTTTGATCATATATGTATTAATACTCGTATATCCTAGACTATACAAAAAAAGTAATTTGAATAAGACATCAATATAACACATACAGCTTACTAACATTGTACTGATTTTCTTCTATTATGAACAATGTTTGGTATTGAACGATGTTTCGTTTCAAACAATAGATCATCCGAAGGATGAGAAAGATATATCTTGGAAGGAGTACGAGATGATCTGCTAGAGAAAAAGATCCATAGAGAGCATTGAAAACATTAAAAAAACAAATAGTTGAAAATTGAAGACTCGGTTTTATTGCTCTTTTAATTTTTGTCTCTAGAATAAAACGCATTCTACCCCAAAACCTTTGTAAAGCGTGTCTGTTTTACGCATTCCAAAGAACGCAACCATACTTTTAAGATTGTTCGTATATAAAACATCATTACTAATGTCAATTTTCTTTTTCTGGTACCTTTTTTTCAGATCACAGCCATCTAAGTGTCCAAGATGCAGCCAGGAACTTAACGTATCTTCCAATACAAATGACTTTCCAACCGACATGGTTTTGAAGCCGCTTGTATCTTACTATGAAGGATATGACACATTACCCCAAAAACCGGCAACAGAATTATATAGCGATGATTACAATTATTACAAAGAAACAAAGGCTACTAGCAGAAACTCTACGAAGAGTAGTGTAGAAAATGTAGATATTGATATAGTACGAAGGATTATTGTTGAGTCTATTTCCCTTATTCATGATAGCATCAAACGCATCGAAGAAATTCAAAAAAATACTAGCTTGATTTTAGAATACAACCAATCTGTTGCTAAAAACGGGGATTTAAAAAGGCTTTACCAAACTTTTGAGCAGAAGCATATTGATATCAAGAATTATCTGCAATCAGTAGAGAACGATTTAGCAAATTGCATAGACAATAACATTCTTTTGACACACTTGTGGCAATGTGAAGAACATCTATCGACACTTCTACATATTGAATTCAGTGACCTGATCGATGATGTAAAGCAGGAATTTAAAAAACATAGTCCAGGGGATAGATTGCATGTCAGCGTGTTATTAGATTGCAATACTTTACCTACACAATTAAACAACGACTCCACTGGTAGATATTCACGATCTCCGTCTCAGCAAGGGGAAGTCCCTGGTTGTACAGCGCCTCACCAAGTGTATGATGAGATTAGCATAGTGTAAGGCAAGACTTTGATACTGTAACAATATTTGTCATATACCTATATATTTTCTCCCTGAAATACGCGATTAGGCTTCAGCGGATATAAAAATCGTATAATGATAGTGACAAACACAGTACAATATATCGTAGTGCCCGACATTTTTACGTTGGTTCCAATCATAGCTGTATTTTATGTAGCATTTTGAAACTGGAACCAAAATTATTGAAGGCGTGGTCACTTTTGCAAAAGTTACTTATTCAGCTGTCATTCACGGATTTAATTTCTTGACAGCTATTTTTCAGTTTCTAAAACAACTAATATAAGTTAGGTTTAATGGAATTCTTTTTGTCCTAAAACGAAAATGCATTATACTGAAAGGATAATCATGTTGTAGTCGCTTTCTGAGGCCACCTATTTTGCTACTCGTTTCGTGAGAAAATTGATATTTCCGATGGTCGAGCGAGATATCAATTTTTCAATGCTGCTCGTAGTAAAATACAAAGCCTCAGAAAGCAACTACAACATAAAATTCTTATACATAAAATAAAATAGAATAAAATGTAAAATACTTGTAATACTGCTTTTCCGGGTGGATGATCTGGCTGCAGTCATGAAAAGATTCTATCAAACTGCTTTGTGGCTTTTACGCACACTGTCATGATAAGTCTCCCTCACAATTTATTGTAAAACACCAGAAGCGCTAACTTAACTTTCTACATTTAACTGTTCTCAACTAATATGAGGAAAGCATTTACGTCTTAACGTTAGACTTTAAATTTTGAAGTATTGTAATAAAATTGATATTACGTCAAATAATGTTCACCAAAGCTCATTGTCCCTATTACTTTGATTCAACACATGTCCCATATAGATGATAAGATTTCAATAAATTAAAGTAAAATGTCATTTTGTTTATTTGATTCAGGCAACCATCACAGATCCAAGATTTCCCCCGCTCTCAGTCACCTATTCCTTCCAATGACCGCAGAATATTTTGTAAGTATAGATATGCGCAAATGTTTGCACATAAGCTATTTGATTTTCTTCGTTATTGCTACTAAACACAAACATATACGGAAAAATGTATTATAAAGACAATTCTACACGGTTTGGTCGTTAAATACATTTAACATACACAATTTGTAGGCTACAAAAATGTATTGATAAAAGACCCAGTCTAATCTAAATTTATAAATGAATATACAATGTATATATATTTGAAAATATGTAAATAGATAAGTAATAATTTTTATTTCACGCGTTTCGTAGTATAGCGTGAACTATTTGTCTGAACGCGTAACGTATTACAAAGGGTGATAAATTTTATATTGGTCAGTGTGTATTTTGCACGGGTTTTTCAGTGAAGCATACATGAGCTTGTGTGTATATATAATAGTTGTGTAATTAGATACTGGTCATTCGACCAGACAACTCCGAACAAGTTAGATCTTATCTTCACACGTGGCAATCAAAAAAAAATAATTGTGGAAGAAAATGGAATACTTTCTAGAATAGAAGCGTTAATAAACAGCAAGTTTGAGACTTTTGAGCAGCGTATGAGCGACACACAGAAGGAATTACCTCAGTCGCAGTTATCAGTTATTCCAGAAAATCTTATGCATGACAATTACACGTTCGAGAAAAAAGGACATGACCAACAGTACAGAGTTAACAGTCAAGTTATTGACAAGCTGCGCCATGCCGAGGCTTATGTACAAGAGGCTAATAGAAGTGCACAATGCGAGGCTGCAGATAACGCTATAAGCAAGATTTCCGAAGGTATTAATATTCTTCAGCATCGTCAAAAATGTATAAAGCTGGCAGACTCGTCTGAACACGGTTGGAAAGTTGTTAATGAGTATGAAGCTCATCCGTTCGCAGACAATTCTGACGATGAGAAAAAGATTTATAAAGCCCAGATGCAAGCAGAACGTAAAGTTCAACGGGAGCAACGCACGAGAAGCAGACTGTATGCTCCGTATTCATTATCCGATAACCCCTTCACCGGTACTACACCACCAACAGGGACGAGATAACAGGCACAGATGATCAACAGGAAACCTGGCTGTTGATTCCGGTGCTGTAAACCAGGCCATTGGCGTGTCGATTGTCGTGTGGCACAGACTGAGTCTCAAGTGGACAAAAATATACAGATAAGTCATTTTGATAGTGTATTTTCTTGTAGTAATTTGAACTCCGGGGTGAGTAAAAATGAAATTTTGTTAGATACAAAATTGTCAAACAAAACTGAAATGTTGAGTAAATCAGTTTCGATAACGAGCGATAATGGAGATGTATTAGTATCTCCGGTAGGTAGACTGAGGTCGTCTTATAAGCATTGGCAAGCAACAAGCGCTGGTGAATATATATCAGATATAGTTCGTAATGGTCATAAATTGCCTTTTAAAAAGAGTCCTAGTGCTGTAGAATTAAACAATAATAAATCTGCTCGAGATAATACAGCGTTTGTTTCAAAGGAAATTCAAAATTTATTGCTAAAAGGTTGACGTATCAGAGAGGTACGTGTGCCTCCGATAGTAGTAAATCGCCTCACTAGCTTGCAATCGTCAGGGCAAGAAAAGACTTGTTTTGGACTGCAGACATTTAAATTTAGATTTGTTTAAGTATAAATTCTGTCATGAAAATCATTCAATTGCGAAAGACATTTTTTCTAAGGGAGACTTTTTATTTAGTTTCGATATTAAAGGGGTTTATCACCATATAATGATTTTCCCCGAGCACATGACGTATCTCGGCTTTGCTTGGTCAAAAAAACGGTTTAATACGTTATAACGTTTATCAAGTTCTACCTTTCGGTGTTTCTACCGCTGGTTTTAATTTGACAAACGTTTTAAAAACGTGTGTTACAAAATGGAGAGAAATGGGGTTCAAAATAGTTTTGTTTTTAGATGATGGAATGGGCGGAGAAAGCTCTTACGAATCCGCTTAGAGTACCGCATCTTTCAAAAGTCAAGACCTGCTTGATTTTGGGTTTTTACTAGCAGACGATAAGTGTCATTGGCTGCCTTGTTTGCAAGCAGTTTGGTTAGGTTATGAATGGTATATGTCTGAGGGTATTTTAAAAGTTACTCAAGTCAAAATCTGTAGAACAGAAAATTTGCTTGACGAACTCATATTGAAAGTTTGTAAAGAGACACTTGTACCTGTGAGAAAAATAGCCTGTTTAGTAGGCCAACTCATTTCAATGCAGACTGTTATAGGCAATACAGTTAAGTTACGGTCAAGGTCATTGTATGGCTGTGTAGCTTCCATGGCAAGCTGGAACGCTCCCGTACAAATCACTTCTGAGGCGTTGCGAGAAATGACATTTTGGCGAGAAAATTTGAGACATTTGAATACAATTGATTTATTCTAAAAGAAAAAAAAATTGATAATCAGACTTACGTCACTGTTGACGCCAGTGTAGCTGGGTGTTTAGAGTATGCCAACGTCTTTGTGGTCAGTGTGTATTTTGCACGGGTTTTTCAGTGAAGCATACATGTACTTGTGTGTATATATAATAGTTGTGTAATTAGATACTGGTCATTCTACCAGACAACTCCGAACATGTTAAATCTCAACTTCATAGTATCTGTTAATTTTGTTTCTTTTAAAAGAAAAACAATAAGAGAGCAACTAGTATTAAATTTAAAAAAAGTAGGTATGTCTACAAATTTTGAAAGTTTTTAGACTTGCAAATTTTGTTTAAGGAAGTTTGTTTTTATGATGTATTTAACGTTTGCATATTTCTTAGATACAAAGTCATTATTTTTGCAGAAGTGTTTTTCAGAATTTTATTCATAAAATATTTTGTGAATAACTTCATGTCTTTAAATAATCATGATTTAATCAATTTCATATTTGGCATTATTTGATAATAGCATACGTTTGTTTACGCAATAAGAATGCGGTCTAACATTCAGTGATCTGTCATTGACAAACTGACACAGGTTTCTCAGAGAGAAATTTCATCAAAAAAAAAATATAATATGTTTTGATCTCTGAGTTTTTTCCTGGGCGAGACAGTTCGCGTCTGCGTGCCTTTGATTTTTTCAAACCGATTTTTTATTTATTTTTCTTTTATTATTGTTATTAAAGTGGATTATAGAGGCAAGAGACGTATGCTATTATAATTTGTGTGGCCAACTTACTATATAAAACTTGAATGATCTATGAAACAAAAACATAATTATTCTGATATTCTTAATTCCTGTTTTATACGACTGCTATTTCGCCTGAATAAACACACACGTCTGGTCATGCAATCTAAGTTTGTTGTATTTTTATTAAGTGTAGCATAGACTTGATGATTATGTGTTTTTTCCTTTTTTATGTCCATGTATAAATCTAACAATAAATTTGGAAAACATAATATTCAAATTTGTAGCATGTTCATCCAAGTGTAAAGGATGAATATAAAAACCCGACTGACTTGACTTGTGTTCAATTTTATATTTTACAATGATGTAATCCATTTGACCCGCAGAAATTTCTGTAAATATTGTTCAAAATGTATCGGTAACGCTCAATTCTTAAAAAGAGCTGGACAGTCTTTTTATAATTGAGGTAGTTTTTAAAGTGTCTCATTAACAATTCCATTACCAATTATTGGACAAACACAATAATAATCGCCATAATGACACATTCATTAGACCTTTAAATGGTCACGACATGGTATGTTATGTCTAGTTCATAATTATGTATAACTCTTATATTTTCTTCAGACTCCAAACTGGCTGCATGCTCCTTTACAAATGTTATGGTGTGTCTCCGTATAGGAATAGGTAAGTTGTTCAGTATAAGGTTTATAAGAAGATCTCGGAAACACGAAGATGTCAAACGACATAAAATTATGTACCAGTTGCAGTCAAACGTTTCACATTTTATTTTAAATTATTTTTATTACATTATACAGATGAAAAAGACAATATATATGTATTTGGTTATTTGGTTATATAGGTTATAGAAAGCAAACATGTTTATCAATGGATAATATTTTAATGTAATACTAATGATAGTTATAACAATAATTCTACGCTATATTTATTTATTTCGAACCTTATTTCGAGTGTTTTAGCTTTGGTCTTACGGGGTATATCTTAGATTCATGTTAAATTTACTTCTATTCTATCTTATTGATTTTGGGTTTTAAACTTTTTAATCATACCGTCACTGTGAAAGTTATTTGACGACATCCTTGCCTAATTTGTGAATGAATTTTTCTGGAGTCGACTTTTTGAGGCAAATACCTGCATAGAAACATCAACCTTTGGAAGTTGGCTGGATAGTTAACCACACACGAAAGAAGCTTATATCCCCGGTGGGATATAACCAACAGAGATAATGGGCATTGGTTCCAAATCTCAAAGGGATTACAAATCGCCAAAACACTTATTATGTATTGGATCTTACGCATCAAAATGTGTACGAATGATCATCTCCGGAAGTACGTGGCAGATGATATTATATTGATGGTTATAATGTATATCATGATTTCCAAAGAGGGGTTCAATTTTTCGTTTGGTTGTAAACAGTTATGCAATTTTCAAACAATCTCTTAAACATAATACAATGCAGTCTTATATATTTTTTTCTTTTTCCAGGTATTTGGAACATTGCTCAACATGGAAGTACTCTGGGAATAATTGCAGCGAGTTTCTTGATTTTAAAAGCACTTTACGAGACATGTTGCATTTATTGGCTAGTTATTTGTCGCTTTGAAGGCGGCAGAAATAGTCGGCAATATATTTGTCTGGTAGTAATGCTTGTCCTGCTTGGAATCTTTTGTATATTAGGTAATAGAGTTTTTGAGAGTGTTTGTCTCTTGTAAATATCAAACATATTCCGTTTTACTTAATTGTACGTGAACATACAGGTTTTTATTAGTTACAATTTATTTGCACTATGTAAATGATACGTACACAAGAAACCCGAAATGATGAGCAAGGGTTACATTTCAACCATTTGTTTTCTTGCAGTCATTGGATCTCTAAAGAATTTTATAACTTATTTTCAGCAAACTGCCTTTATTAGAGAAACAAAGAAATTACTTTATACAATTGCAGCAGCACAGAGAGTATATTTGTACAATAGAAATTTACATGCACTATTATGATATAACAAGACAAATTACAGAATACAAGTAGAGATTTCTTGAAAGATTTTCAACAATTCTATCTGAGTTTAGATAAAACATGACATTTTGTTACGATATTGGTACAATATGGGTCCAGCTAGACTGTTTCTTTGTGACTTGTGACTTTAAAGGAAAGCTTGCTTAGGTTTTAGAACGTAGGAAAAAGTAAGATTCATCAAATTGTTCGTGTAATGTAGCATCTAATGATATTAGAAAATTGTCGAGAAATTAAGCTTCTTAAATTGGAGATTTTAGCGAGAAAATAAATATTGGCTTAATTATTTACCGATTGAATTTGATAGAAATGAAAGTAGCCAACCATTGGCAAGAGTTTTTTATCTTCCTTGCTCTTTATACATTTTTATTAAATTTACCCTTTTAATGTGTGATAGCAATATGTTAACCTTTTATTTACAATAATAAGCACAATATTATTACAAATTGTTTACCAATGAAGTTTACCAATGAAGTTTTTATCGTTACTTGTTTTCAGATATTGTATTAGCATATATTGCGGATGACAATGTGAACCTACCTCTGCGTGTGTTGAGAATAATTACTATTGTAGACATTGTTTGGAACTTGGTGATTATACTGACGATATGGTTGCTGGCAAAAAGATATTCAGACACTAAATAGTATTTTATTTTGGTTTGAAAAAGAATGTGTTGCCTTCAAACCTCTGGAAGATTATCATTTAAAAATCGGTGTAGTTTGTAGTACAATTAATTCTGAAGACTGAATATCAATTAAACAAATTGATTTCCAATTTTCCTCTAGACACACAAACACATTTTCAAATCAACGAAAGGACAGACACATAGGAGAAAGTGTTTTACACTTAATAATGTGTATATATAATTATATTCGGACATTCATACAAACAAGTGTGCTTACTTAAATCAGTTAAAATCAAAGGGTTAAATTTTGAAGTTTATCATATTTTTTGGATCTTTCTGTGAAATTTTCAGAGTAAATGGAACCCATGCCAGGCGTTAAACAGGTGCAGGATTAGTTACCCGCACCCCGGGGCATGAAAAGTGAGGGGTTCTTTTTTGAGGGGGGTTTACTTTGTGAGCAGAAAAGGGGAAAACGATAGAAATACCCATTTTCAGATGATCGTTTGACTTTTTTGTTGTGTTTCATATTTTTTAAACAGGGACTTTTTTTTCATTTTTGGCTAGACACAAAAGAAAAAGAACAAAAAACCCCGGCAATGGGTACCCCCCCGTACAAACAGAAAACCCGTTTACGAGCTCTTTCATTACTTATCAAATGGTTTATCGAAAAGCAATTTTAAGAAATCCTTATGGATTCTTTTATTGTCCAAATACTCAAAGTCATTACTACAATGCATTAAAGTTTTTCCTGTAAAATATTTAAACCATCAACATCAAGTTGTGTGACTTGAATCTTCAGATTATTCAAGTTTATGAATTGATTCTTTACATTATTTCAACATCGCTTTAAACATGTCCTTGATTAAATAATAAACACACATTTCTAAGTATCATTTAAAATCTCGTTTCTTTCTTTGAATGCGATATAAATGCAAGTGTATTTTAGCTAAGTATGTAATAACAATTACATGTGTTTTAGAACTGATAAAATAATACAAACTATATTTTTCGCACTGCAACATTAATGGTATTAATTTCTAACTTCATCGTGACATAAATTACATAATTTTATCCTTTGCTCTCTTTAGATATTATTGTATCTACCTTTCACAGTTTCTAAATCATGAGAGTGTAACATAAATATTTGGCAACAGCATTTGTTACTTCAGTAATCGTTACTTTCCAGAATTAAGGTAGACCATGGGTAATGCATTACCTCCACTTTGAAGAGTATTCAAATAGGCTAAAATCGCTTGCAAACTACATTGAAATTGAGGGGCGCGGGTTCAAACCCCAGAAGGGGCAACTTTTTTTCTTTCTTTTTTTTTCTTTTTTCTGTATCTCTCTGATCCCTTATGGAAGAAAAAAGGGTTTGATTTAAATTATATAATTATTGTAGGTATTTATGTGCTAAATATTGCCAAAATTTATAGCAAATATGACACCAGATATTTTCAAAATTTGATAGAATAAAAACCACACGGTAAAAGTATTTTATATTTTCGCATGATCAACCAATATGATACCTTTAAGGAAATTTAGGCAAACTTTGAAAACAGCCCCTCATTATGGTAAATTTTAAGAATACTTTAAATAAGGCATTTTGTAAGATAGGGAAATGGTAAAATTAGTGTTAAAGTTGGTGGGGTATGGGTAACATTTTATACATATTTAGAACATTTTGTTTAGAAACAAACATGTTTTGGCTTGTGTAATTTGTTACCTGAATGTTAATATTTGTTTCTTAACAATGGGCAATAGAAAAACATTTTTTCATAATGATGGAATTACAGATTATTTAAGCAGTTTCCTCATTTCTGAAAATAAAGCCCTTCTAATGGCAAAGTCTTAGTTCAGAAATATATCCATAACTCATAAACCACACGGTAAATTTTATTTACATTTTGCATACAGGTGACCTTGAAGACATATAACCGTCCTATGTTGTCAATTTTACAGTTCCTTATGGTTCCCACTACCCATGGTCTACCTTAATATTCTTGTTCAATATTACAATAAACGCAAATAATTTAAAGCTATCATAAGATTTATACAGAATGTATTTTAGTTTATATAAAACTTTAAAATACATTACTGTATAAATTCTTATGATAGCCTTTAAATATTTGCGTTTATTGAAATTAATTGTTAATAAC